TAGCCAGAAAACTCTGGAGGGACCATGATCCCAGACAGAACAGGGTGGAGTGGGTATCAGTAGTGATGACTAACAGAGGTGTGGAGAGATTTATGCTATCCCCATGAGCCGTATTTGCTCAGCTGTTATTGAGCTCCCAGTAAACACAGAAGGGGTTGTTTCTCTCCCTCCACCCACAGCCCTGCTCAGGGGACAGGCAATAAGGGCCTATTTACTGCATTGCCTTGCTGTTCCTGCCAGCACTTGTGCATGTGCATACTTAAGGCTTTTCAAATGCTCCTTCCCCTCCAAGGAGGAAAGGATGCAGATTTAGGCTGCTGGTGTAACCTGTGCTGAACTTGCTTTCTGCCCACAGCTTTTGTCCTGGGATGAGGTACCTGTTCTCCTGGAGTGGACCTGGCTCCTGTTCACATTAGAGCTTCCTTATGTACAACGTAAAAGCAGCTTTAAGCTTATGTACATTCTGTGGTAAAATAACCAGTTCAAAGCTCTTGTTCTCTGCCACAGCAGTGTGAAGACGCATGAGAAATTGACCCTGTCTGAATTAAGCTCCCCTGTGAGACAGGCAAACACTTTTCCTCACTGAAAGGAAAACTGAGGCACAAAGACACTTGGTTCTCATGTTTGGGTTGGCACAGGAGGTCAGTAGGAACTTGGCACTAAATATCCATGCTACTCCCCTTTGTTTTGTGCTGCACTAATGCCTCACTGAGAGGAAAGTTGGGAGATCAACAAAAAAAAATTTGGGGGAGATGTGTTTGGGGTTTTTTTTATTATTTATTTATTTACTTTAAAATTAGGTCCCTCTTGCAGTGCTAACAATGGGGATTGGTCAAGAATTCTTCAGTAAAAGACCTTTTTCCCCCCTTGTGATGAATGCTTGTTCATTAAAACTGAAGCTTTTTGTGGGAATTCCATGGGAAAAGTTTTGCTGGTCCAGACAGAATTTCTGGTCAAAGGAAATGAGGGAGAGAGAGGAAAAGAGAAGGAAATCTGCCCTCCCTGGTACAGCCTGTAGCTCTGGGGTTAGGCTATTCACATGGGTTCATTGGGGCTGGGCAGAAGCATATAGAGGGAGGTTAGACCCTCTCTTTTGCCTGATTTGGAAGAAAGAATCCTGTCTCTGAAGGGTGTAGGAATCTCTCCAAGGTGGTTGGTTCTGGTGCCACAGTCTCCCTCTTCTTTAAAAAAAAAAAGATTTGGATGCAGAAGAGCAAAGTTACAGAAAATAATCTGCTGTGGCTGGATGTCAGATGTTCCCTATATCCCACCGTAATTATCCCCACAGCATCTTCACAGCCACGGTGAGTGATGCTTGGTGCTTTGACTCTGATGGCAGTGAGAGGTGTTGTGTGTCAGGAGAGCAGCTGGGGGAGGCTGCCCCATCCTCAGTGGCTGCACATAGCCCTGCAAGATGAGCATGGGAACTGTTAAGCACAAACCTTTGGCTAGATGCTACTAGACACCCTCTCTTCTCAACTTTGTGGGGTAAACAAGCATCCCATCTCTTTAATAACCATATAGTTTATTAGACAGTCAGATGAGTCCCTTAATTCATCCATCATTTTTACTTTTATTGTGCAGGCACTAGATGTATGTTTGAATATACGTACTTAAGGGACCAGGAATGAGAGACCTTTTTATGAATCTGACCATGTATTTCTCAGAAGGCCATTGCTAGGGGAGAATTATTGCATTAATAATGTGCAACTGCAGATGTCCAAACCCTGTTTTCCGGCCATAGCTCATGGCTTCAGAGACACTACTTTAAAAATATGTTTTAATGAGTGGTAGAAGTAGTCAAGAGTAAGGAACAGTTAGCATTTTAGAGCTGAGCAATTGAGGTAAAATGGATATTTCTGCCAATGACTCTTCTCTTTGTGTGATATACATTTCCTATTTTTTTTTTCTGAAATTTGTTTTTTTGTAATCTAGATTTGCTGTCTTATTGAGGTTTCACTCCCCAGCAGCAGTAAGTTGGCAAGTGTTACTTGGTGTCTTTGCTGATGGTCAAGTCAAAGCAGAGATTGCAGAAAACAGTAAAATGTGACAGTGCCTTTAAAATAAATAAATAAATGGGTATAATATTATTATTTGTCCTAGGAAGGCTGTTTGTGTCCCACAAACTTGCTGTCTTAAATTTTCTCTCTCTAAGAAATGTTTAGTTCAGGGAAAGAAGGAAAACCTTTCTTTGTGTGCCTGCAACTCCCATTAACAGGGAATAGGCTTTTAAGTACCCTGCATGTATAATAAATATATGCTAGTTTCTAAGATGACAGCTTAATTTCGTACCTGGCATTAAAGTTTCTAGCTTTACCATAGGCTGTCACTATTCTCCACTAACCTGGCCTTGGCAACAGCAGCAGAGTTTCCAGTAAGCAATTTGACTGGAGCAGGAGGACTTGAGTGTCCTGGAGCAGGGGCAGCATTTGATGGTCCCTTGTTACCCATGAGACAATCTTTCAGGGTGACATTGCGTGCAGCTCACGCCAAGCCCCAGACTAGTGAAGCTGATGGAATGGATTTCCCAGCTGATTTTGCTGCCTTTTGAATACCCGAGTGTTAATATGGATGTTTATTTTTTAAGGGAATTAAGTGCTGTTAGAGTGGTAGCCTGGAGGAAAGAGTCTCTTTGGGGACTGGTGCTAGTTACTACTTTCTGCTTTGTAGACAGATGTCACTGAAGGAAATTTCCACAAGGCTGTTGTCAGAGTCAATGTGTTTGCTGTTCGGATCTCCTCCAGCTCAGAGAGGGCATGGTGGATCTGGAAGGGGTTCAGAGAAGAGCTGTGCCAAGTGGGACTCTTCAGCATGTAAATGAGACAAAGTAGGAATCTGTAAAGCAGGAAAGAGCTTCCATGGTAGCTACTTCTAGATATACATTAGAATTAAGTGAAGTATGATTTCCCTGTCGTTTCATTTGTACTGCTGTCATTGCTAATGATGGGCTACTGAATGCTGGTGACAAAGGCAGAGTTTGCATCACTACATATATCTGATATCAACTGAACAAAGCCTGCAAGATTCATTTCACTCAGCCCTTAAACAGCTTTCAAACAGAAATAACTACCGATTAGTTACATATTCTGGTAGTAAATGTGACTATCCAGTTCCCACAAATTTCTGTTAATATGTGCAGAGATTTTTTTCCATTTTTTTATGGCATAGCACAAATATATAAATATGTAGATTTATTCTGTGTAATTTATGTACCTAATTGCAAATGTATGTAAAATAAGATACTAATTCATTAAAGAAATACACTTTTTGTCTTGATTTCAATGAAAGTGGCATATTTCTTTGCTCTAACACAAAAAGAAAACGCACTTTATTTTTTTCAGTCTAATTTTACTGAGAGTTTTGCAAGACGCAAAGGGCTTGAGAAATCTTGGTTTGACTTCGTGCACTCAGGAAGCTTTTGGGATTTAGATAGAAAAATTCTTGGAATGTAGTTCTCTCTAGCAGAAGTTTTTCTTCCTTTTGCTTATAATATAATGATGATAGAGAATTTTGCCCCTGCTTTTTTGCTTTCCCCAAGCTGCCTGAGTGCTTTGTCTCACCTGATGGCCAAGAGGTGAATTGCTGTCAGCAGACTGTGTGTAAGTGGGGCCCTTTGATGTAAGTGGTTTGTTAGGGAGCCTGCAGGCTTCTGGCTCAATGACTTCTCTGTCCTAGTACATCTTGGGAACAGTCTTTTGTTTTGTTTTTTTTCCTTTTTCTTTTCCTTTTTTCTTTTTCTTTTTTTTAATCCTTTTTCCTTTTTCTTTTTTTTTCTCAGATGTGAAATCTGTCAGCAAAGTGAAGTCAGCTTAAATATCAGCTGAGGCTTGAGTTTCCTTTCAGTTTTTGTTGACTTTATGCCCTCCTGCTCCTTCCCAGTCAAGTTTCTCTCTGAGTCAGACTTACTGACACTTAAAAGTTTTTATTCTGTGTTTCTATTGTATGGGTTTGTATGTGGCAAAGTTCAGGCCCTTCACATTCCCAGCCTTGACAGTGATGTGAAATGTTGAGGGGAGTGAGACTTGTTGGGGTCTCTGAGACTCTTCCAGCTGCACCAGTTCAATTGGAAACCAGTAAAAACGCTTCTGGTACCCAGGCATGCTGTACTGGGGTGATGCTGTGCAGACCTGATGGAGTTTCTTGTCACACGTGCAAAGGAATGCTGGGTGTATGGGCAGTGCTAGGGCTCTGTGTGCCAGGCTGGCTGCAGAAGTCACTTCTGGGCTTCTTCCTGATCTTTGGTGCATGACACTACCGTTCTCTTTGACAGTATCTTTGGAAATAGCCTTTCCTGTGTTATAGGTTATTAAGGAACAGGGCCTTACCTGCCACTCAGTATAAGCAGTGTTGGGTGCCCTTGGTGAGGACAAGAGTGGAGAGTGCTGGAGAGGTGATGGCAGTGGGGGTCAAATGGGATAGCCTGTTCTGTTCCCTGCTGAGGTGTGTGCAGATGCTGTCTGCACTGGATAAGCCTGTGTTCAAACATAACCTGCTCCTCTTGGGATCATGTTGGAGAGGTGCTGTTGAGGGGGAGAAGTGTTTTGCGGTCTGGAGAAAAAGATGGAACGGCAGGGCAGGGTATTTGCCTCCTTTGTTAACTGGAAAATACAAGTCACAGTTCAGGATCTCTCAGTTTGCAAAAACATAATCTGGGAAATTCTTACCTCATGGCTGCATTGAGAGTGAATTGTTTTTACCTGATAGTTCATTTCCATAACCCAAATGATCAAGAAGAGTTTCTGCTGTTTCTGGCATCCTGAGCAGCTGGCAGTCGATGTCTATAGTCCATAATCTTGTTGTGTCACAGCTAAATGTAGGAGAAAGCTCTCAACCCAGAAGTCCCTCGGTCCCTGAGGATGCAGACATACTGATGCTTGATGAGAAGGAAACAGACACAAAGTGTTCCTGATGTGAAGGATACCCATATCCTGCTGGCCTGAGGAAAGTGATCTTGATTTGATTCTTTTTCCACCCCCTCCAACCTCCCTTCTGTCTTCCAGAAAAAGTTCACTCCTGTGACCAGGAGAGGCAGAGCGCCCTGGAGGAGGCCCGGCAGAACCCGCGGGAGGGTATCGTCATCCCCGAGTGTGCTCCTGGAGGACTCTACAAACCAGTGCAATGCCACCAGTCAACTGGGTACTGCTGGTGTGTCCTGGTGGACACAGGACGTCCCCTGCCCGGTACTTCCACTCGGTGAGAGCTATAGGCAGGCCTGGGAAGGTGCCTGGCTGGAGGAGATGAGATATAGAAAATACTACTGCAAGGGGAAATCAGTTCTTCACTCTAGAGCAGTCAGCTCTACACTGCTTTCCCTAGGGCAAGCTGTAGGTGATGTTCCCTGTTGAGTGTTACTTTGCAGCTCCCTCTCTATAGGACCTGGTGGACATTAACTGCTGTCCATACTTCTCTCTGTGTTAAGTATTCATGCAAAGCAGCCTTTTTTTCTGCTGGCTTGCTTTTCTGAGGTAGGAGGAATGGCGGCTTTGCTCAAGAGTATAGATTATGGGCATGAGCAGTGAAAAGACAAGTCTGTTTCATAGTCATCTGCTTTATATTTCCTTGTTGCAGCCTCTTGAATCCTGACCAGTAGGGAATTAGAAGACTGCTTGTTGTTCATGGGTAGACTTTAACCCAGAGATTGATTTTTTTTTTTTTTTAAATTATTTCTTTTTCCCCAGTTATTCTCTATTTTGAAAGTACCTGAAGAATCTTTTCTCAGAGTTTGGAAACAAATTGTGGGTCTGGCAAGTTGCAAAAACAGGCCAATAAGAGCTGGGACCTAAACTCGGCTAGATATAGTGATTCTGCAAAGCATGAACAGCTTTGAAAAAAAAAATCTCAGCCTATGTCCACAAGAACTGGAAGAGGGCCCTGTGCTGTTTGTGGGTTTCAGTTGATAGCTGGTACTGGACTTCAAAGTGTGTTCTTCCTTATCTTTCCATTTCTGCTGCTGTTGCTGACTGTCCACAAACAGATGCCTGAGAGTGGTATTTCTTCTGGAGGTTTATTGGGTTCCCCTGCAGTAAGCAGACAAGGCACAACCCATTGACCCTGAGATCAGCTCAGCTGGTCAGAGCATAGTAACCATGGCCTGGTTGTGGATTTGATCCCTATATGAGCCACTCACTTAAGAGCTGGACTTGATGTTCCTTGCTGGTCCCTTCCAGCTCAGAACAGTCTGTAATTAGAGACCATGTGATGATACTAAACCTGTTACATAGTTTAGCTTTTGCTGTTCTCCTTTTTCAGGTATGAGACCCCAGTGTGTGAGAGCGATGCCAGATCAAAGAGCACAGAGGTTGATGATCCCTTCAAGGACAGAGAACTTCCAGGTTAGAGGAACAGGGTCCTGTCTCTGCCTTCTTACCTTGTCTCACCTTGGAACTCTTAAGAGGCCAAGAATATTGTTGAGGAGATAGGGGATTTTCCTCACAGTGCTTGCTTTACTGTGGGGTTTATTCTGTGGGGTTTTTTTTTTAAGATGACCTCCAGTTCAGCTGTGAACTGGAAAAGGCTGGGTATATCCTCAGAATATTTATTACCTGTCTGCCCTTTGAAAATATTTCTCGGATTAGAATTTTCAGGAGAGAAGTCAGGATGCCTGGAGATACTCAGGGGGAAGAATGGGCTCAACACGGAATGTTCCATAAAGTAACCTGTCTTGACCAGGACAAGATCCTTTCTGTTTAGTGGGGCTTTTCAGCAGCTTGTTGCTCCCTGAGTCACAAAAGAGGACACAAGTGCCCAGTTGTTGGTGGACTGATTTGCTCCCTTACACTGCATGGACTAGGCAGGACAGCACTCACTCATGGTGTACTAAGGTCCCTTACCCAATGATGGCTTCTCACTTAGCTGAACTTCATTCCTCATTTTCTGCCTGGGATATGTTTCATTTCCCACTTCTCCTTGTTTTATATTCTGCTTTTCCTTCTTAACAGTGACAAGTATAATTTGCTGTTTGCCTACGTTTTTGCTGCTAGGAGCATGTGCTGGGCATTGGTGTCAGTGCAGCTCTTAAAAATGCTACCCCACCTGCCTGTGCTCTGTTTCTTCCTTCTAAGGAGCAGAGTGAGGGGCCTTCACTGTCAAGGTGACTGGCAAGGTCGACCATCGCTCCCCTCAGTGGGAACAGCTTGAAAATATAAGCTACAGTGGGTCCCTCTGCACCATGAGGGTGTGGTGGACACCAGTAATTCTGCAGAAATAGCTGGTGACTCTGGATCAGCCTAATGTTCTATGAGTAGCATGAAGTGAGTTGTTCCTGAAGAGGTTAGCAAAGGAAATGAGATTTTTTTTTCCCAGATCTGCCTTGTGTGTCTCCTAATTGTTATCCTTCTGGCTCCTGACTTCAGACCCCAGACCTTTCTGCTTAGCAACTGTGCTCTCGGCAGGGCTCTCTTCTATGCAGCTCCTCATTTTCATGAGTCATGTGAAAATTTCCTATTGCCTCCATTTCACATTCAAAGGAAATTGACCAATTGGTTCAAATATTATGTTGTGGGGTAGGGGGAGGGAAGCCAGCTAAATGGATTACATTAAGGCTCATTTCCTTAGGAAATCACACTAAAATAGAATAAACTTACTTCCTTGATTCCCCATCCCCCTCTCCCACTGCTTTACTGCCTATCCTTGCACTTCTCCCCTCCTCTCCAGAAATCCTCTGCAAAAATCCTTTGCTCTTTGGCTTTTTCTTTGAGACTCTGTTTCTGATCTCAAGAAGACAGACTGGTTTTGTTTCCCTTCTCCCTTCCCTTCTTCACTGAAGCCAGACAAAGGGGCAGGAACTGCTTGATGCAGAAGAGGACACAGGATGCTCTATAGCTTAGAGGTCTGGTCCCAATATCAAACTCCAGGAGAGCTGCCCTCTCAGCTCAAGCCAATTTTCTGTGCCTGTGTAAACTTCAAACTCTGTGTTTGGCTGCATTGGTTGGTGTGATTGTTATCCAGAGAAGTTTCAAATGCTCCATCCCTGGAAGTACTCAAGGCCAGGTTGGATGGGATCCTGAGCTGCTTGATCTAGTGAATGTCATCCCTGCCCCTAGCAGGAGGGTTGGAACTAGATGATCTTTAAGGTTCCTTTTAACCCTAGCCACATTCTATGATTCTGTGATTCCTATCACTGAAAATACCCCTGTCTATAGAGAGATGGGGAGACAGAGGATCTGATCCTGGTTTGCCTGCCTGAGAAATGCTGTGCTGCATGGACTTCTGATGCTGTCTTGAGGTTTGTTTGATTAGCTGCTCTTGTATGCAAAAATTTACTGATGAGCCAGAACTGCAGGGGGTGAGAGAGAATTTTTTTTTTCCTGCTCTCATTTCTTAGCAGAACTGAATGTCAAGAAAAATTCCTGCTTTAATTTTCACACACTTCTGTCAGGGGGACCCCTTACTTTATTCCTCTTATAGAGGTTTGCCCATTCTTTAGACTCTCAGTGCTGCAGGCTGTGTGCATCTTGGCCTGTGTGAAAACACCCTGCAGAGGCCCAGGTGGGAAAAACACAAGTTCAGATCCTTGCACACCTACACATGCTCTCTGCACAACCTGTCATGACAGTGTCCAAAAGTAAAAAAGGAAGAAGGAAGGAAAATGTTGCTTGTACATAGCAAATGGTAAACTGCTAATTCCTGCAGATGGTGAGATGCTGAGAGCCCAGGGAGATGACTTCTAGCAAATAGTTTTTCAGCCTTTTCATTACCTCAACAAAAAGCTCCTTTAAGCGAGTGGTCTACTCTGGCTGCAATAGCAGCTTACCCATTACAATGCTGACATTTTCTGCACCATGTGCCAAATGAGTGCTGGGGGGTGTGCATGTGTGTAGTGTACATAATATGGAGACAGGCTGGTTAGCTATTGCAGAGGACAGAGCCTGTAATACTGCAAAGGAGGGACTTTTGTCAGATCAATTTGCAAGCTGCTTTCAGCTGTCAAAGGATTACAGTAAGTTTCCGGTGCTCTATTTGTGGTACATGTTCTTCTTTGCTTGTTCAAGAAAAGCAAAAAGTATAGACATTGCTCAATGGTGCTGTGGGAGGCTGTTTGCTGACATCTGCTGCCCTAATCAGCTGAAAAATTGGTAGTGCATGGTGGTTTTAAGAAAGAGGTGAGGGATGTGGTGATGGCTTCCCTGTCACATCAAGAGAAACAGTTGGATGGGAGGTGATGGGTTGGACAACAGTTTTGATGGTGTAATGTCATCCTGGTAATGGTGTTCAAGTTAAGCATACCTGTTCTTGGTTCCTTGTTCCTTTCCTTGTTCCAAGTTAGAACAGTTATCACAGTGTTCATGGGGTACTTTAAGCAGAAAGGAAACAGCATAGATTGCCTTTTAAAGGTGAGGAGATGGAGAGTTTCATTGTAACAGGCTGGCACTGTTTTGGATAGGAGGCTCTGTCACTCTGGTTATGAAGGTGGGGAGCTAGACAGTCTCAGCACTGAGTGATGGAAATGGTTACCAAGCTCATCTTCAACCCGCTTTGTCCTGCTTAAGCCAGCAGTGACTGGGGGTGACAGTACCACATACCAACTCAGTTTGACGTATTTCCTATGTAGAGCAATCATGCAAAGAATGAATTATTGTGGTAGGTGTTGGCAGGCAATACTTTTTGTGCCTGAAGAGGAAAGTGCAAGCAGCAGACATTGCCTTGTGCTCTCGGATACTTTAATCAGTCAATTAGGGCCTCAGAACAGCCACATTTGCCTCAGAAGATGATCCAGGAGGTAATGAATTGTTTTGTAAACTTCTCTGCAAGTGTCACCATGGGAACTTCTGCCTGCCAGGCCCTTCCAGCGCATCCCTGCAGTTTTGCTGGTAGAGAACTGGGTGAGACCTTAAAGCTAACCACACAGACTTCTTTCCAGATATTGTTGATAACCCTGCATGTGTCTGGATAAAAGCTGCAGGACAAATTGCCACACATAGAAACCCACTGAGGGATTCTTCTGCCTTTCCTTAGGGGCTGTGTTGATGATTGTTGCTGTCTTAAAAACGAAGGAGTTTCTGACTGGTCCTTGCTGAATTGGGGTAGGAGAGTAAGCCTGTGTGTTCGTGCTTTAAATCTCCTCTTTTCTTTCTGCAGGCTGCCCAGAAGGGAAGAAAATTGAATTTATTACCAGCTTACTTGATGCTCTGACTACGGACATGGTACAGGCTATTAACTCAGCAGCACCTACTGGGGGTGGGAGGTGAGTCCAGAAAGCATGGCTGAATGCCACCCAGGTGGCTGCAGAGCTCTGGGTGCCCCTGAGGTGGGGGCAGGTGGGAAAGGTGGTGTTGTGACTGATTTGGGTTCCTCTGGGCTGCTGAGAGAGGATCTGAGGCTGCTTTGTCCTGTCATCCTGGTGCTGCTCTCCTCCTCCTGCCCCTCCTCCCTGGCAGCTGCTCTACCATAAAGGTTAGTATAGCCCATTTGAAGTGTGAAATGAGAGCTCAGTGGGAGGAAGTGGCTTGTTCTTTTGTCCTTTGGTGCATGAAAAGACCTAATAAAATGCAAATGGATTGAAGGAGACCGTGTGGCCTAGTGGCTACCACAGGGAGTGAAGAATGTGAACCAAATTCTTGGCAGGAGCAGGGCGGTGGCTTTGCTGTGAGGCTGCAGCCAGCCTGCCGATGAGGAGAGGAGCTGTTTTTCATGGCCCTCCCCTCTGATCAGCTGAGTGTCCACCCGTTTTGGAAGGAGCAACAGGTCAGGCCTGTTGCAAGAGGTGGACAGAAGTCTGTGTTCCTGGGGAACTGGAGGAAAGCTGAGGCTGTGTCTCCCCCTCCTGCTTGGTAACAGCAGATCCCTGCAGCGCTGCCTCGGGACAGGCCCTTGTGAAGGAGCCGTGATGGATTTAAAAAGTGCTACCCTGCCTCAGCTAGGCAAGGCTTCTGTGGTTCTGGGTTTGCCTGACTATAAAAGGAGTCAGTGCTGGGGCAGCTTGCAGGGATGTGCAATGACTGATATGTGCTCATGTTCACAGGGGTCTGGAGATGGAAGTGCTTCTGCACATACCTTACTTCTGTGGGTATTCCTCCAATATGTTGACAGTAATGTTGATCCCCTGCTTTCCTCTTTCATAATGGAGAAGGAACCAGCACCATCTTTTAACTGTTCAATTCTACTCAAGGTCCTGGGTGGCATGGCTGTGTCCCTTGGCTTCAGTATGGACTTGTGAATTCATATGGTTTTAACTTAATTTATTTAGACCTTACAAATCAAGCCAGGGACTTGTATATGTGCCTGCTTGCTGAATATTCTGTAACCCATTGAATTAGTGCTATATGCCTGGCATGTCTGTATTCATATAAACAGGATGAAAAATGCCCCAAGGATGGGAAATACATCGTTCCCTCCCAGACTTAAGCATTCCAATGTCAATTCTGTCTAATTTGCATGGTTCAAATGCAGTGGGTAGGGGTGGTGGGAAGCCCTGGAGAGTATTTGATATTTATTTGGCATCTTTGGCACTGGGACTGAAACACAGCCAATGTAATCATCACTCTTAAAATAAAGCTTAATATAAACCAATGTCGTAGAGACCAGAGATGTATGCCCCCACTGCACTTCTGTAAACCAGCAGGCTTGCTTTCTAATGTTCCCCAAGCTTTGTGTATTTCTCAGCTTTCAATAGAGGCCTTTCTGGTAGAATTTTTCACTGCCCAGCTCTTCACAGAGTCATCACATTGATTTATTTTCCACTCCAATGTCAGCAGCCCAATTGCAAGGGGAAAATTAAATCTTTTAGCAGGCTGTCCTTGGTAAGGCAAAAGACTGCTACCACCCAAATACTCTGCCTGCCCACAGCCATGATTAAATTCAGATAACTGCTCTGGTTTAATTTTCCATGTGCCTCAGCTAGACTAAGCATGTACCCCAAAGAACATGTGTCAAACTTTTGCAACCCAACAGGCCACGATGGGACCATTTTAATTTTTTTAAAAGTTAATTTCAGGGAATTTTTGATATTTATATAAAAACTTTATCATTACATATTTCATATGGTTTTGTGGAGTTGGGAAGCTGTCTCTGTGCAGTGAGCCCTGCTTTCCAAGAGTCCCAAGGTGAGGAATATCTTGAGTTCTCTCTTCAGGAATTGGCTTCTGATGGTGTGAACAGGTGTATTCTTTGCTGGGTAAAAAACAGCTGGACCCAGAGGGTGGCTGGTGGCTAGACACAAGTGGTGTTGCCCAGGGCTCAGTATTGGAGCCAGCCCTGTTTAATACCATCTTCAACAACCTGGACAGGGGGATTGTGTGCCCCCTTACCAAGTTTGCAAATGACACCATGTTGTGTGGGAGCATTGACCTGCAGAAGGGCAAGAGGGATCTGGACTGGCTGGATCAATGGGCCAATGCCATTGTATGAGGTTCATCAATGTCAAGTGCCAGATCCTGCACTTGGGTCACAACAGCCCCAGGCCGTGCTTTAGGCTGGGGGATGAGTGACTGGAGAGTTGCCTGGCAGAAAAGTATCTGAGAGAGCTGATCTACAGCAGCTGAACATGAGCCAGCTGTGCCCAGGTAGCCAAGAAGGCCAATGGCACCCTGGTTTGTATCAGGAACAGTGTGGCCAGCAGGACCAGGGCAGTGATTGTCCCCCTGTACTTGGCACTGATGAGGCCACACCTCAAACCTGTGCTCTGTTCTGAGCCCATCAGTACAAGAAAGACACTGAGGGGCTGAAGCAGGTCCAGAGAGGGGCAGTGGAGCCGGTGAAGGGTCTGAAGAGTAAGTACTATGAGGAGCAGCTGAGGGAGCTTAGGGGTGTTTAGTCTGGAGGAAAGGAAGCTCAGGGAGGACCTTATTTCTCCCTATGATCACCTGGAAGGAGGCTGTAGTGAGATGGAGGTTGGTCTCTTCTCCCAGGTAATAAGTGACAGGATGAAAGAAAATGACCTCAAGTTGTGCCAAGGGAGACTTAGATTAGAAACTAGGAAAAACTTTTTCACAGAAATGGTTGTCAAGCATTGGAACAGACTGCCCAGGGGAGTAGTAGAATCACCATCCCTGGAAGAGTTCAAAAAACATGCAGATGTGTAACTTGTGAAGACATGGTCTAGTGGTGAACATGGTGGTGATGCTGCATTGACAGGTGGGCTTGATGATCCTGGAGGTATTTTCCAATTCTGTTGGAGATCTCTTCCAATTAACAATTTTATGATACTGTGTATATCTGAAATTGTCTGGGTAACCTATCTTGACTCTGGCACTATCAATGAGAGTTCTTTTCCAAGATGAAGGGATATTTTACCTTTTGGGTTAGTTACACATTTAATTAATTTTCAGCCTTAATAACTGACAAAATAACTGTGACAGTTATTGTGATTTGTAACAGTGCTTATCCTGTGTCTCCCTGGCCCAGATTTACTGAGAAGTTCATGTTGTAAAGGAAAGCTGAAGGTTTGGCTAGCTGATATTTCTTAGTATCAGTCATGTCAGTTTTAATGTCAGTTTTCCTATCTGTGAGGCAAGCACCACTTCTGCGGGCTCTTCTTCATCTTGATGCTATCATGATGGCAGAACAGATTCTGTATTCAAACAAACACTGTAGCCTTCCTCTTTTTGCTCCTTTCAGTGTTCAGTATTTCATGTTCCTGGGCCTTTTTCAGATTTTGAGCAAATGTATCCCATTATCCAAGCTAAATTTTTAACATATCCCCAGCAAAGCTTATGCCTGATGCAGGAGGCAGCCAGGCAAACAGCCAGTTGTTACCCCCATGTCAGCTGTATATTGTCCTATACATTTTAACCAAACAGAGGAGCCACAGGAATGAAGTATTCCTGTTTCTCTGTGGCAGCAGAGATGATACAGGCATACAGTATGCATCTTTAATATCAATATTATAATAAAGGACCAAAGGTAGAGGAGAGCCTTTCCAAAGTGTCAAGGACTAAAAAAGCTCAACAGTGAGAGTCTTAAGGAGCTCAGACATCCTTAGGGTACTGAAATAATAATAATAATAAAACAAATAAATTAAAAAAATATTAGAAGATGGTTTTGTAAAATCTGAGTATTTCTGTAGGGACAAAGGCTCTGCAGGCTCTTAAGCTGAGCAGGGAAGAACATGATTAACTGAATATAAACAAACTTGTGATCAAAATTTCTTTAAAATGAAGGCAGTTCTAAGCCAGAGTGAAGTCATGAGGAACATGACTGATTCCCTCTCTAAGGCTTTCATGTTAGGCCTGATGTGTTTCAGAAAGACTTACTTTAGTCAAACCTGAGTTATGGTCCCAAGAAAAATTTGATTCACATTCTGTGGGTATGATATACAGGAAATTAGATTACCCTGCTGCCTCCAGTCTGAATCTGGATATGTGAGTGAAAACTTCTGTGTCTGCTGAGTGACTTTGCAATTAATATCCATATTAGCTTTTTTTTTTTTTATTTGTTTTATTATTATTATTATTTCAGTACCCTAAGGATGT